GGGTGACAAACCCTGGAAGTAGACGTGCACGATAGTTCAAAAATGAAGTGATAGCTCCGTCTTGGTGGTTCCCAGACAGTATATACGTGTATTCTCAGTACTCTAAATTAAAATCTTTGGGGGAATATTATTAATACCTATCAGTGGTGTCTCCTTCGAACCTCCAGCCCTCACTGTAGAGTTTGCAGAGCCGAGATTTAGTGAGACCGTCCTCACTTCGATGAGGATTCCCAATCGCTTTCGCCGTCTATATCGTCTTCATCTCTCAACAGATTCCCCTATCACCATTACCCTGAAGCTAACCACGATGAGATCAGATGGTAGGGTCGGAGCCCTACTCGTCACCAACCCTTGATCATGGAGGAAAAGTGTTGTGGTTATGAGCTATGAGTTATATGGCAATTATGACTCTGCTGTCCGTCGGTGGAGTTACACGGGCTCATGTGCAATGGTGAGTCGAGGAGATGGCGCGCTCACACTGAGTGCGTATCACTATGGCCAAATGGGTGTCAGTAGGTATCAAATGTGAACTCTTATTGACAATGGTGATCTATGAAGGTGATGCTAGATGTGCATCCCGACGATTGATAATATCATCTAATGGATGATGTGAATTATGATATTATATTGGATAGATTGATTCACTAGACTCGGCACGTGAAAGATTGTAGAGTACATGAACAGCGTCTGTGCACCAGCCTGTATTTTCCACCCTTTCCTAATCCGGCAGCCCATCCTCCGCACCCCTGTCTCCTAACAACTCAACCGAGCCAGCACAACAAAAAGCCATCCGATGAGTTTCAGGAGCGTAGCCAGCACCCGATACGGAGATGGCGGATTGGATTAAGTCGGCCTCAACTATTACAAAGAAGAGAGATACAGATGCATATGCGCACCTCATGTGGTCCCGGTGTCTAGGCCTCGCCTGGCTGGGGCTGCAGGTTTTTTGAGACTTTTTCCCGCGCACGCAGTTTCCATTGCTACCATTTTTATTTTTTTTGGGTAGAAGGTTCCGTGGAAAAGGTGGCTGAATTCCACGGGTAAATACTGAGCTGAATGGCTATTCATCAAGGGGAATATATCAATGATCTTTCGAGTAACAAAAGAGGATAGGAGCACTGTACAAGGTGTGGCCTGGGTCAGAGAGGAGCCCAATGTGCTAGATAGTCGTAGACTCAGGCAGCAAAATAAACACACGCATCAGGGTGGGAGGTGATCAGACTCTCAACCCGAAAGGCGATATGTCCAAAAGATAGGAAAGCGGCGCAGAGCACCGTATCTCAAACATTTACTGTACCTTTCTCTCTTATTTCGTCGCTTCTGGCTCTATTGGTGGTTATGTAGGTAACAACGAGCTATTAGGGCCTTACTACGCGTGTCTCGTCTGTAAAGCAGTTGGTTCCGACCTAACACGTTAAAGACATTAAATTCAATCCGTCACTTCTATCAGCTGCTGATCTTAGCGCATAACATGCGCCACGATCGGTTAAATTATCAACTGGTTACCCAATGGGCTGTATCCGCAGCTGGTCCAATTTTACCTTGATTTGCTACAATTGTAAACATTAGCCTTACTACCGATTCTGATGTTAGTCATCTCGATTCTATTTTTTCTTTTTAAATAATTTAATGTGTATGCAGCTACAAAGCTATGACAGATGACCGGTGCTATGTATACATGTGGGATGACTCTTTTGATGTTAGAGACACTCATACTCTGGATTTCATTTGCAAATACCACTGAGGTATGTTCGCTTACACAAACAGTCGACCCTCCTCCGTAAGTACCCACCAAAGGGAATTTTAAAACCTTTGGTTTTCCTAGCATACCTTCGTCATCCATGCATACCAGCGTCGCGAGAAAAGTGGTTGTGTTTTGCTGGATTTGAACCAGCGGTCTCCTGTCTCGAGTGGGATATTTGTCCAAGCTATCCAGACTCTACTTGGCAGACCGGCCAAGATGATGTACCACCGCACCATCCAACCATGGCAATGTTTATAGTGTCCCCTGCACTCTCACAACCGAAGTCTTGGCACGCACAAAGCTCAATTTGTAAAAACTCCTTGCCAAAACTCCAAATTCCACGCCCGTCGAGACTGTATCCATCCTTCGCATCATCTTGTGAACTTGTCCTGATCCCTCTCACATCCATCCCAAGGAATTTTCTCCCAGATTTGTGCGCCACGCTTTGCTTCCTCCGTCGGGTGTAAATATCGGCGTGGGCGTTTATTTAGTGTTCTATTGAGGCCAGAGAAGGTCGAAGAGAGGTGTGGTCATTGAACCGAGGATGTACTAGGTCGTACTTGTAAACTTGATGAGGCTTAGGCAAGAATCGATCTCGTTGGGTGGGAGAAATTGTTTTGCTGGAGAGTCTTGGATCATTGCCTCGTGGGCCAACTTGTTCTTAAATGCGAAATTTGACTGAGCTTGGCTCTGGGAGAATATTTCACTCCCAGGTTCGTAGAGGATACCGGATATAGGTGTTCAGTCTTGTCCTCCGATCGTCTCGATTCGTTTAAGTTGTATACGAGATGAAGAAGCTACGGCTCTGTCCTATCTAGAGCATGATAATTTGCTTCGTTGTTCACGGCATGGGGCGTAGGATGTTTTGGTATCATACTTGCCTGTCTATAGCAATCTACGTATTCGTACTACCTTTTAACTCTCAACATTTTTCATCACAGACGTTTCCTGACAACAAACGAAATGATCTCTACTTGCGGGTGCTCGGCAGCCGGGAAAATGCGCAAGAGTTATGTGGTGTGAGGCTCTCCTAATGCTAACATCAAGAGTAAATTCAATAACAAAGCGGCCCTTCTGAAGCGTTTGAAGAGGCCGACCAGATGGGCACTGCAGACCTGTGGGTAACTCGGGAAATTCACACTCTGTCTTTCTAGCCTCCTTCCAACCCTTTCCCGAATGTCGTGTTGAAATTTCAGAGAAGTCTTGATAGAGCGTAATTGCTGTATAGGTGCTTTTCCCGACTTCTTTTGTGCCATCTGGAATCCTGGAGAGTGATGTTGACTCATCAATAATAAATTTCCTTTGGAGCAGCGTCGTACTCGTTATTGACTCCATGTAATCTATTTTGAGAGCGAGATGTTCGCCGGAAACAATGCCGACTAATAATAAGTTTTCGTCTCCCTCGACACACGTAAGGAAGCAGGCATCCCTGTTGTACTGGTGATGGCTAGGATTACGATGCACAAGGGTAATGATCACTGAGGGTGAAGGAAGAACTTTCCAGGTGGCTCCATGATGAGTAGAGGAACAATGAAGCACTGTTTAGAAAGTGTTTCTAGATTGTACTACCAGATGGAGGAGACTAGAATATTCCGTGATACTGTTTTGGGTAAATAAGGCGAGAGTCTAGCTACCTCAGATGTGTTTACTATTAGCGCTTTCTACCTTCTGAAGCCTCGTACGTCTGAATGTCAAGCATCTCAGCAGTTCACATTGATTCATCAGTTATCATCCGTAAACCTTTTGCCAATTAACCTCCGTAAGTTCTTACCTTTACAACAATCCCATCATGTCCACAGCTCCCCAGCTAGTCTGCTGGGAGTCTGGCTGCTAGGGTACATTTAGGGGCCCTTTGCAACCATAGTTCCTCTTCTGCCGATATCCACAGGTGGTGTGGTGATAAAGTTGGTCATGCGGAGCGCTTGGGTGGCGATAAACTCAAAGGCCCTCAGCAGCTCATCCATGTTGTGAAAAAAATCAGATCCGGATGCCGAGAAAGGAGCCTTCAATTGCTGAGGCATCTTCATGTCTAGCAGGTTTTCCTGGAATTAGTTGGGCCTCGTGCAGACGGATACAGCGAAGCGCGAAGTCGTCCGGGTGCATATGCGTTCCTTTGCCGGCAGCGCTTATGCTGTCATCAAGGTGGAGAGGGAGATGACCTTGGCGCGCATCTCAGCGACGGATGTAGAGCAGGCGCTCCCCGCCCCATCTTTCCCATGCTCCTGATGGCTACCCATGGGACCGGAACATATGATCCCGATTCCGTGTGGGGCAGACAAACAGTCGTCCTCACCTACCACCTCCAACGTCACGGAGGACACCGGGGCCCATGATGAGGCGGGAACGCGACCAATCATGATTTCAGCCATGCAGTCACGGCACATCATCTCCATAAATAGAAATCTTGTCTGAACCTCAACATTCCCACATGATCGCGTCGTACGTCAATAATAGTAGATCTCATTGGATTCGAGGTGTAAAAGATGGAATGCTCTGTTTCTGCACATAAAAACTCTACCATTACATGTGTTTAGGTTTTTAGAGCTGGCTTCTGGTTAAATCTGAGATTCATTCTAGTCTAGGACTACACGATATCCTCAGTAGTTTTAGTGACCACTCTACTAACTTTGAAGTTTGGCAGTCGCTAAATGAATCTAGCACCTATCCCTGCCCGTATGTTTTGAGGAATTTGGCACAATCAACTTCAAATTAACAATATTAGCATCCAGAGCTTATAGGTGTACATAACTGCGAGGGCCTATTTGATAGCTATTTAGTGTCATGGCATTGGACATAAACGCTAAATTGTAGGCTGTAGTGATGAGGTCTACGTGGCACCAAATAAGTAGATAGCGCATCCGCTTTTGAAAATACACCTAAAGTCTAACCTTTCCTATTTTTATGCTATCTTGGGTTTCCATTATTCCTACATTAAGATTACTATTTTTATTAGAAAAAGCCGTAATGGCCAGTGAAACGCCCTAACCGATGTCGTGACCATTTCGTTGAGTTATACCGATGTATACCTTCTTTTCCTTTACAAAATCCTTTTCGCCTGACGCAATTCGCCACCAATGAGATAATGACAAGCTCTATTTGATTGGATTTCATCATACCCTAACAAAACTGAGCCAGCATAGCGAGTGGTTAAACCCCAGAAAATCTTTAAACTAATGTTAATATAACATTTAGGGGGTATCCCAATCTAAAATCTGGAGAACGAGGCATAGAAAAGAGCTGAAGTGCAGAAGCACGTCTATTGAGCTTTTCCGAGCCTTGGTAACTTTACTTTTGAGAATGTAACTAGACAAATTATACTCATAACAAGAACCAAGAAAAATGTAGCTCGAAGGGCTGCAGTGTAACTGTCGAGCACCTGTTCTTTGTACGATGGAGCCAAATCTTTGATAACTTCGATACTCTTCCGCACGGATTCAATGACATTGTCGCGATCAGGTCCTTGAACGTAGCGGTTGAGAAATACAATCAATGAGTTCTGAAGAGCGAGCGAAGAAAGCGAAATCCCGATAAAATTTCCGATGGAGCGCCACAGGACCAAGGTTGATGCTACGACTGCCTGGTCTGATTGCTCAGACACGGAAAGAACAGACATGAACGTTGTTGGAAATACTGTAGTTAAAACGGGTTAGTACTTACTGATTTCGGAATCTGAAGCATTGTAGCTTGTTAGAAGACGGAGCTGACTTACTTAGACCCTGTCCTATACTCACATTCATCAGAAATGGTAGGTATACCCAGGTCGGTAGGCCCCTCTGAATGAATGACAACCCGAAACATCCCATGACCGAGATTAGTGCACCGAGCACAAGAAACAATTTCAGGTGTTTTGTCCACGTGATCAAGAATCCTACACCAACTCCAGCAAAACTTGCTGAGATGCTGGGTGCCAGTAAGTTTAATCCTGAGTTAGTCGCTGATTGCAACATGACAGCTTGAAAAAAGAGAGGGATGTTAAAGTTGACAGCGCTCAGAACGACAGCGCTTGTTGCATTAGCGAAAATTAAACCCGCACGAGGATTTTTTGTGATAATTCTGAGAGGCATTATAGGGCGGGCGGCAAAACTTTCGACATAGAAAAATAGAGGGAATGAAATCAAGAATATGACGAGAGATGATATAACGATCGGATGAGTCCAGGAATAAATGTTGCCCCCTAGGTTCTAGTAGTGGTTAGCAAACATCTCCTGAGGGTTAGGAATACGTACTAAGCCAAGTATTAAAAATGTAGTTGAGGTCATAAGTAGTGAAGAGCCCATAAAATCAAACCCCTTCATTGCCTGCCACAAATTATTGGCTTCTTTGTCACTGGCTAATCCGAGTCGCTCTGGTATAACGAAGAAAGAAGTTAAACAGCAAGCCAGAACAAGTGGAACTTGAATTCCAAATTCCCATCGCCAGCCAACAGAATCGGCTATCCAGCCACCAAGTGCAACACCAGATGCTTGACCCGCACCAAATGCAACATTGATGTATGATTGATAGATTCCTCTAATTTTAATGGGGACAAGGTCACTTATGATTATAGTACTCATAGTTATTATGCCACCAGCACCGAGTCCGCACATTGCCCTTGCAAAGATGAAACTTGTCATAGAGCCAGCAAGAGCACACCATATGGTTGCCATCAAAAAAATTGAGATTGAAAACATATAAGGCCGCCTTCGTCCAATGGTATCCGATAAGCCACCGAACAGAGGCTGGAATCCCGTCGAGGTTAACATGAAAGCTGTCGATAACCATGACGCGCTGTTGGAACTGTGAAAGTATGAAGTAATAACTGGGTGGCTTGAGGCCATTATCGTAGTGTCAAAGCACGCGATGAAGTAAGATGTCATAATCATTATGAATATGACCCAGAACCGCTTTTTACTGACACCAGATAGGTAGGGAGATTCGGGCTTGACGTGATCATTCCGGTCAGTATGGTCGCTGCCAATCGTAACCACCGAAGTAGAGCGGGCAACATTCTTGAAGCTTCCATAAGTTGGTGAAGGCTTTAAATTGGTCTCTTGAATCTCTGGGTTAGATTCCGCGATAATTTTATTAGCATCAGTGATGCCAGTGTATATTTCTGGATGGTCTACAGTGTTGTTTAGCGTAGGGTCTGTAGAGCATGGCGAATCGCTCGGCACGGGTGATGGATATAGGTTCCGGCCTCTGAGAAGACTTGTTCTTTCGTCGACGGTATGTTGGGGAGATGACCCAGTCATCTTGGATATTGGAAAGTCCTTGTATATTGGCTGGAACAAGATTCAGTTCAGAGGATCGTTTCAGGTATTATGAATGGGTGGCGTTCATGGAATTGTAGGTGATATGCTGCTGCTGTAAATATCAAGTCGGCTAGCTCTGGCAAAGATCAAGTAATCTTCTTGTCCAATGCAAACCCGTAGAGGTGGAGTTTCAAAGCGACACAACAAAAAGTGAGTGTGTCAAAGGGTCTAGGGGTAGAAGGCAGCGGAGGAGATGATAGTATTTGAATATCGGAGGCTCAATCGGTAGGAGGAAAGGACTTAAAGGGCAGCTTGAGTACCGTTGGAGATGCACAAGGGAAGGCGCCCCGCATTTGATGTAATGATCTATGGTAGGTGATCATTAGGAGAGCTCTAGTATGGAAGACGGAGGGGGCTGAGAATAGGGCGTGTGCAGGCATCGGAACTGGTCTCGACACACGACATTGGCGAAAGCCGCCAAAACGAAGGCTGCGCTTAGTGTACCCGACGACGCGCTCTTCGATTCCTAGTCGCATACCACAGCACGAATTGTGCGTCATGTGATTACGGTATAACAGAGACGGTAGTTTGGAGTGATGATCGGCCCCACACCCTTCTCCCCAAAACTATAATAGTTCAATGAATATGCACGACGTACATGGAATACCAGATTTGCCACCTCCTGGTCAATACGCAGAATCAAACATCCCGGCCGATAGCACGAGGAATTCTCATGCCCAGGCCTCATCACGAGTTCAAAAGTTGTACATCTGAAAAGCCATGCCTAATCGCGGTTCCGCTACACGGTTGACGTCCGAGAGTGTGAGACTCGATCGTCCAGGGAATTTCAAATCTGAGCCTTGCTGTCCGGATATCGGGCCGAATACAAGCAACTACACCACCCTCACAGTTCCCGAGAGGCTCTGCGTTAACGGCTACGAAACTAGATGTGCTGATGTGTCGATCCTCTGTTACTGTAATACGCTGTAATTGCTTTTTTATATTTAAGGTTATGGACATGTGTCTCCAGGACCAGTTAGGCACACAGCTGATATTTCACGATGTCTTGCACAGTCTTGAGATGCGTGGAGCCAAGCTACAAGAGCCTATTCCAATGCACAGTAGAACGAAAGACCAGGTTAGTGTACTACTTCTTGAGCACAGCAATGATCGGAATTGATGTTTCAAGATAGGTTATGAGATAATTGGCATAATGATATGACGGGAGTCTAATCCTGACGAAAGGTTGAAATGTAGGGTTTATAAGTGGAACGAGACCACTCGGCAACAGAAGTGATTGTTACCGCTCAGCTCCGGCTCGACTGGTCAGATCACGGATATGAACGTGTTTGCCAGGTAGAGACGGAACTCTATTTGCTCCATCGGCAATACACTCAAAGGGAATTTAGAGCTTAGGCAAAAGCCATCATTACAAAAAGCAAAAAATTGCACCTGTTGACATTCCGCTACCGCCGATGAAGCGGTACTAGCTCGCTGCATATCTACAACTGCCACTTATTGGAGGACGAAAGCTGAACATCTGTTGGTGGTATCCTCTACGAACTTGGGGGTGAAATATTCCCTAGAGCCGAAATTCATTCAAGAACAAGGGTTGGACGAATTTCATCTGATGTATTGCCGGCTTTACAGAGTTGTACTCTGTATTTTGCTCGAGTATCAAGTCTACAGAGCTTTCATGACTACAAGAAAATTGAGTAATAACTCATTACCACCAACAAGCCTTTCACAATTAGGCCTGGGGTTGTTAGAGGGTTGTCTTCTATCAAACGACCCACCTCCACACTAATCACACGATCTATCAACACAAGCTCTAATGAGGAGGTGCAAGGCTAGTTCAACGCTGGGATGTAAGACGGCACTTACATTTCGAAGTCATTGAAGATGTCATGGGCTTAAGCACAGGGCAGCCGAAGTTGAGGACAAACGTGAGCTTCGGCGTAGATATGGCAGGTCTCTAGGAGGTCGGGCTTGGAGTGATTCGACAAATGAGTGAAGTCTGAGATGGTCCGGTCACTTGGAAGGGTTGAGATTTATTTTACGTATATGATAGTTAGCCTGATCCAGCCCTAGTGCTGCTCGAGCACTAATTGTAGTTTATGGGGTGCCTATTGCTTTGCACGGAAATATATCAACAAAACGAAACACCCTTTTTTTTTTTGCCATTGGCGATCGTATAATAAGCAGCCTAGACTTCCGGAATGGCTGGTCCGGTTGACGGAGCATGGTACCATCCGATAATCTTTAGGTTCCACTATATTCGGGGTACCTTACATGTTTGGTCATGCATGTAAGATGATGTATACCAAGATCACGGTAGTGGGTGGTAGTCGCGCCAAGACTGAGATCTGCGTCTATTAATGTTATGCAAACCTATCCATATATATGTATTACTAGACAGTATTGGGTTAGAATAAATCAATAAATTTACACCAGACTTGACAAGTTCCGCAGGATCTGTGACTAAAGATTACAGGCGTGCTGTGAGTTTACAGTCAGTCTTGAGCACTCGTAACCCACGCACACGAAAGCACGATTCCCTAGACTTCCCGCGGACCATAATTACGGGTAGGAGCGGGCTAAATAACAAATCCACTTCAAATTCTTGTCGACAACTCCGGCCTCCATTGACTCAGGGCTCAGCAATCCAGTCCAATTAATGAGGTACAACTTCTTTCAGTAAGTCTATTTTGATCCAATTCCGCCGATCCGTACTCCCCCGCTAGACAATCTGTCTCTAACCGGAAGTCAAAGCCCGCCGATGGCCGGGGGTAAGAAAATAATTTGGGACACTGCAGATCCCCGATGATTGTAAGCATAATAGACACTCTGTAGCTTGTACCCTGCTATCTTTCGGCATGTTGAGCTAGAATTGATATTTCTTACCAGCTCTCGAAAGACGGTGGTAAATCGTAGTTTATACTGCAGGATACATGGCGTACATGGCGTACATGAAGCCCTTCAAACGGGAATACTAGCCCCATACGATGCGCTGTGCATATCAACAGTACCTGCATCCTTGTTCTGGAAAATCTTTAGTACCGTCTTTAGCTAAACCGCCTATCATACCCTTGACCGTACACCCTGGTCTTCCTGGCATCTCCATATTTTTGCGACCGCGCGAGACCGAGGAGAGCAATAGGCCGTTTAGGAAATCATTGAAGTTTGCATGACTGATCGATATTTCATGAGCTAGCGAATGTCGTAACTTCCCCTGATACCACCTTTTTAGTTTTTTGGAACACTGGTTGCGAACCGCTTGCCGTAGGAATCATTTTTCAGTGGAGCGTGGTACTCAGGCTGGGTTCCCTGTGGCATTTTAGCAGAGCTCAATTTAGCTGCTACTGTTGAGCTGAATCACTGTTATGAGCCAATCTATTTGGAAACCAACCAAAGGCATAAGCTCAAAGGCACCGCGATCCTAGCCATGACGATGCTGATATATGCGTTAATTAAAGAGGGAATAACGATCTGAATTCTAGCGACATTTAGTTCTGCCTCTCCATCAGCATCCACTATCTAATTTGGTAAGTTTTCTTAGGGTACTCTTAGTGCAGATAGCTGGCACGCTTCCTCATTTTGTTGTATATTTAAGTACGAAACAGTCGTGTATCCTAGGACTGGATTGCTGCACAGCCGTAATTTTTGATCGCTTTTACTGCTACACCATTCACAGAAATAGCGCTTTTACTCATCTGGCATAATTCCAATTTCTCCGGATACAATCAGACCCCTGTTAAGACAATTATAGTTAAGACGATATTGCCGTTTACACGATATATTTTCCGAAACGGACTTCGTTCTCATTCATTTACCGATTACTCAATTATTGTTCTCCAACCTCTGAATATCGTCTTAACCAGGGTTTTTTGTTAGATTGGTGCTACCAATGCCGCCAAATAAGGGAATTTCTTTGGAGCAACGACGAGCGCACCGCCAGATCTTAAAACTAACACAAAAACAGTGCATTTAGTGGTTCTTTGCTGAGTACGGCCATCGATTGTGCCAGTCCACACTTTCCGGGTCCTTGAGCAAGACCTTTGCGAAACTCGACGAAGCTACAAGTACTTCTGCGCTACGACAGCGAGCTGGAATCTGGCCTGACCTTGAGGGTATTAAAGCGATTGAAGACGGCAAGTAGGAGTGTTGAAGTGGTATCAAAGGTAAAAACTAGCCTAGATAGCTGGATTAGATAATCATATCCTTTTAAACGATATCCTCTATTATTATTAATTCATTTTATTGTCCTGTCTGAGTCTATGACTATGTAGGACATGCAGGTCCTCTCTGCTTACAGGCCAAGGATACCTATACCAGTAGTATATCCCCTCCTATGCCTCCCATACAGCTCCCCTCAAACAGTACCACCCCTCACAAGTCCTCATTCGATCATACACTTAGAGGAGCCCTTTACCCTTCGTTATCTCCTCCCTCCAGCCAACGAAACGGTGGCCATTTGCGGGTGTATGGCAGCCGGGGAAAATTCGCAAAAACCACTGGGTGCGGAGCTCTTCTAATACCGACATTAGGAATAAATCCGAAGACATATTGCCCCATCTGAAGCGTTCGAAGAGCCCGGCCACCTGGGCGCTGCAGACTTGTGGGTACCTCGGTAAATTCACACTCTGCCTTTCTAGCCTCCTTCCAACACCTCCCCGAAAGTAGTGCTGAAATGTCAGAAAAGTCTTGACAGAGCGTGATTGCTGTTTGGTAGCTTAGCCTAGCTTCTTTCGTGCCGTCCAGGGCGCTGGGGAGTGCCGTTGACTCATCGACAAAAGATGCCCTCCTGGCTAATTAGCCGAAATCTTAGTCTTGGCGCCCACAAAAAATCCAAAGTTGAGAACTCCTCGAAAATGTCAGTCCCAGCATGGTCTTCAGAGACCTCTTTCTCCTCTCACTCCACATATCAGCCGCCTGTCCTTCCTCAAGATGTGAAGCCCCATTAGAGCAGCAGTCCCCCATAAACCAAGACCCCAACTTTG